ACACCTCTTTCTTTATATCACTCTCATCATGGTGTGTGTAATACACTCTCTCTTTTATTATTTTAAAAAATTATCAATCACACTTCACATGGAAAATATATTCAAACTTAAGAAAAAAAAATAAAAAATTATTAGTATAAATTAAAATTAAAAATTAAAAAATTATTATCCACAAAATAATATTTCTTTTATGAAATAAAGTGTAAAAAAAATATTTCTCTTGCCTCACTTCATCACTTTCTCTCACTGCTCCCACCCTCACCCCGAACATGTTTTTATTTTTTTTGTTTAAATTTCTTTTATAAGAGTATTTAATTTTTTTTACTCATATCTACCCACCCTACTTAACCCACCGATTCCAAAAAAAAATCTCATTTTGTGTACGATATATACATATAAATATTTTTTATTTGCCGCCACAAGATTTTATTTATTTATTTATGTTGTATTCGAACACTTGTAGAAAAAAATTCTAAAATTTTATGCACATACATATTTAACACTAGATGAGAAAAAATATGGAGAGAAAAAATTAGCAGCACAGGGTAAACTACGACGCGGTCAAATTTTTACTTTTTTTAAAAATAAAATAATATCAATTTTTTTTGGGATGGAGTAGGGGGGGGGGTGCATGGAGGTGGTGGTGGAGTGGGTAAAAACATAATTTAAATTATTTTTTAAAAAAAAATAATTTTTAGATTTTTTATGGATAGTAATATTTAAATCTTTTAATTTTTTTTATTAATATTAGTAGTTTATATTTATTTTTTTTTAAGATGGAATATTTTATTCATGTGGAATGTCATGTATCAAGGTTTTTTCAAATAAAAGAGAAAGTGAATTACACTCACCACTGAAGTGTGTTTCTCAAACTAAAAAAAATAGTTTAGGTACGAAACTCACACTTTCAATAGTTTAGGCATGAAACTAAAAAAAAAGTGAATAGTTTAGGTGTGTTTTTGACACTTATCTCTCTAAAAACTATGATAGTAATAAGGTTTAAGTTATTTACAATGACTCAAAGTTGTCCCCATGATTCAATTGATTATCTCAATTAAGATTTGTACCTATTGAACACCTGTCTTATTTAAAATATGTACCTATTAAGTATTTTTTGATTATATGACATCAAAGGTGTATTACACCTTTGAGAGGCGCGTGAAAAGTTGAAAATGATACTTGTACGCATTAAAGGTGTACCTATTAAGTACTTTCATTCTTACATGGCACTAGTACAAGCCATTCACATATTGTCATGTCAAACATTTTAAAAGTTGAGCAAAAATCTAAAAAAAATAATCAAAAGAAAATCATTACTTAAAAATTATGGCCTGAATTTAAGTCTATAAATAATATTTTTGGAATTTGTTTTTACATTTCATATGAAGAGTTGAACTTCATTTTTTATAATTAATAAATTTATGAATAATTTAACGTAAATATACTATAAACTAAAAGCATAGTGAAATATATATATTACTAGAATAACATTATAATATTATGCAAATAAAATTGTGTATTAAAAATTAACTATTTAATAAAAATATTTAATAAGTGAATAATAAATTATTTATACTTTTAAAATAAACTTACACAAATAGAAAAAAACAGATGGAAACTAAATTAGAAAAAGGAAATCAAACAGAAAGGAAAACTACTTTGGATAAAGGTCTACAAAGGTGAAGATCAATTTTACACCTGAAGTTGTTGTAGTTCGCAACAATCACGAGTTGGGGCCTGTGAGTCTAAAATCCATCAGCTTTATTAGCTTTTTAATTTGATTCTAATAAATTCTTGGGTCTATTTTGGACCTTTTGATTAAAAAAATAAAATACAATATAATATTAATTGTATGTAAATTTATTGTTACGATTCTCTTTTACTCTTTCAAGATATTATTAAATTTATTATTATAACATTAATTCAAAGGTGTATTACACCGTTAAGACGAGCGTGAAAAGTTTAAAATGGCACAAGATGCTTCAAAGGTGTACCTATTAAGTACTTTCATTCTTACATGACACTAGTACAAGTCATTCACATATTGACATATCAAACATTTTAAAAGTTAGAGCAAAAATCATAAAAAAAAAAATCTATAGCAAGTTTTAGAAATGTTCGTAAATATACTAACAATATAAAAGATCATATAAATATTACTATAAAAATTATTTTTAAAAAATGATAAAAATAATTAAACGTAACTTTAAGTATTTCAAACTTTATAAAAATTAAAATTTTCAAATCGTTTAAAATCTAAGAAGCTCGAAAATTAATTATTATTGATGAGGATTAAAATTGGGTTACGATTATAGAACTATAATTGATCTTACTTGAACCATAATAAATATTTAAAAATTATTTTGATTTGATGAACAAGGAGGATAATGACATATTGATGTTCTAAGCTTTCAAAATTTACAAGTTCATATGATTTAAATTCTTTAATTTTGCGAGAAAGATACAAACATAAAAAGCATAAGAAGAATAAAAGATAGATTTAAATAAATTATATATAATTATAAAAGCATGGGATACACATATCCAATAAAATTATAGTATCAGATTATTGAATGTAAACCGGAGGGGTTAGTTTCAAAAAAGGAAGTCTTAAGTGATTTAGATTACAAACGATACAAAAACTTAAATTGTATATAAACTAGATTAAGGCTTAAACACAACAAAGAACCTTCACAAAACTTTTAGCAATACTATTTCAAGTTTTTTTTTACAAATTAAATGATTTATTTATGATGCGTGAAACGCGGCTAAGTTCACTAGTTATTGATATGTAAATGAAAAAAGTAAATTATATGACTATTTGACATCAGAAAAATTATGTGGAAAGTACAATAAATTACTGTTTTTTCACATGTTAATTAATTTAAGATAACTTTTTATATGTTAAGTATCAAAAAAATAATTCTAAAAGTCAAGTTACAATATTAAAAATTTGGTTAACTTTCGTAATTTGATCTATATTGTATAATTGAGATTGAGGGAGTGTCATATATTATTTGAAAATTACATTGAAAGTATTATAAATTACAATAATTAATAACTTAAAATATTTTTAAAAAAATAAGAAAATGTGGTTAACTTTCAAAATTTCACTTGCGTGACATAGATGGGGACAAAGATAGTAACATATATGATTTAAAAATTACGTTAGAAGTATTATACTCACAATTTAAAGTATTTAAAAATATACTAAAAAGTTCATTAGCTTTCAAAATTTTACATGTACTACGTATTCGAAAAAGGGTCAAAAATACCCTTAAACTATTCGAAATAGCTCAAATATACCCTTGAATTATATTTCTGCTCAAAAATACCCTTTCCCGCAACTATAGTGTCAAAAATACCCTTCCCTTAGAACTTATGTTTTTTGTGAAATCATTATAAGGAAATGGAAAAATGAGGAAAAGGGATTTTATATTTTTCAGTGAAATCGTTTCTAAATTCTACGGAAAACGGAGAAAATTAGGGATAAGTTTATTAATCTACGTGGCACAAGTGGAACTCTATTGGCTCATGTGGCATGCCATGAGACATCCACATGGCATCTAAGTGACGTTTGACCGATTCTGTTAATGAGAAGGGTAATTTTTACCCAATAGTTTGATGGTAAGAGTATATTTGAGCCGAAATATACTTCAAAATTATATTTGAACTATTTCTGATAGTTCAAGGGTATTTTTGACCCTTTTCCGTAAATTGAAACAAGAAAAATAACATATATTATTTAAAAAAGATGTACTTAAAATATTTAACTTTTTACACGTGTTACATAGTTACATAGATCACTATGATTAATAACTAAAAATATATTAAGCATATAATACAAAAATTAATTAACTCTCAAAACTTCACATTTACCACAAATATTATTTAAAAAGTATGTTGCAAATTATAACAATAATTAACAATAATAATATTTAAAAATTTAATCGACTCTTATAATTCTATGAGTATCATATAAATTAAAACAAAATAAACTAAAATATGTTGGGTCTGCTTGCCCGAGCTTTTGTAATTGTACCTAGTGTGTGTATATATATGTATATATATATATATATTTATTTATTTATTTATATTTATATTTTATTATTATTTGCTTTTTGTAAGTTTATAACCACATTTGACTACTGCAATATATTCAAACAACAAATTATATCTTTATCTTAGTACTAATTTTGCACTAGTTATTATAAATAATTTGTGAATGCAACGAATAATATGAATCACTAAAGTAAAAATCTCATATAAAATAATTTTGTGATATTAAATTGTGGATAATATAGGAAGCATCTTTATTTTTGCTTAGAGAATCTTTAAGACTTTAAATACTTCACTATCAATTTATTTTTGATTAGTGGTGTATATTATTTGTTGCATTTATAAACTATTTTTAGTAATGAGTACAAATTTATAATAACATTACTTAATATAATCTTAAGTGGAGATTCTAGAGATTGAGAATGGTGTATATCTTACTTCGTTATTTGTACATTGATATGATAGAGAGATTTCAAACAATACATATTAATAATCAAATATGTTAAGTATACAGTAGTAAAGAAAAACAAATCAGTACTCCCTTATTCCATGTTTATTAAAAATTTGAGGTGTTTTACAGTCTTTGCGAAAAGAAGATAGGACATAAAGTAAAAAGATATATTAATTTAAATTTATATAATTTAAAATTTATTTAATATCATATTAATAATCGTTAGATGCGTAAAGATAATCAATAATAAATAACCTTCATTTTAATGAGTGAACCAGTTTTAAAAAATGAAAAAAAGTGAAAATTCACAATGGTAAATTGTCTTGTAATACTCACTCTATTATCAAGAAGAGTATTTTTTTTTAATATCAAAATTATATTTATTTTAATAATTGAAATTTTACATGATTGAAAAGTCAATTTTTTTTTTCTTAAAATATATAATCAAGGATGAAATAATAACAAAATCTAATAAGTATGAAATTTAACCTTTACTCTACACGTGTATGCAGTGGCTTTCCCTAGAAAACTTTTCACTTTCTTCTTGTCTCCCCAATTTCTGCCATTCCTTGCAAGCTTTTGATTACAAGTTATTACTTCACATTTGAGATTGCGGTGGGTTTAAATTTGAATTTTTTTGCGTATTATGCTTCTTCCTTGCGCTTTTCCTTCGTATTGGGTGTTGTGTAGCTGAAATTGCTGCTCAATCTACATTCCATGGCTGTACAGTTACCAGGTCACAATTTTCTACTGTTTTTCTTTACTTTATACTATATTTTCGGATTATCACTTTTTAAGTTTGTCATGCTCTGTTCGATAATTTGTTCGAAAAAAAAGGAAGGATTAGTTCTCGGTGATAGAGTACCATTAGTAATCAGCATCGCTTAGTTGAGCTAGATTTTTGCTTTAAAATGATTATTATGTTGTCATTGGCCCCTAGCTACTATTTGCCGATTCTAGATAGAGCACAATCAACTTATCCACCTCAACACTTCTAAACACTATCGATTTTAGAGAGAGTAGGGTAACTCACAATCCCTTCGAAGAGTAGAAAAGCTCTTCTTAGGGTATAGTAGTTGTACACTCATATTACCATATGGATGGGGAGAGTTTAAAAGAGCATGTTTCCACTAAAAATAGTGTAATACGTCGGAGGAAACACGACTAGGCAACTATGCTACATTGACACCCCAAACTAAAAGAGTAAAAATGTTTTTAGCTCATTTCATACCCTTCTAATTTAATCTAAATATTATACTATAATTTCAATGATGTCTGGCTTTCAACGGATCCAGCTAACTTGTATTAATGATGTGGTCAGTGTTGGTAAATGTCGTATTTCTAAATAGAGACATGTACAACAACATTCACTTCGATTCTAACTATCCTTTCCCATATTACACTAACCATCAAAAACAATAAAATTTTCGTACTGAATTTCCCAAGGTTCTTACAACTAATACTACTAGCAGTTCAAAATGTAATAATGCACCCGAAAGTGGCACTGCCGGAGGGCCTGAAGCGAGAAATAATGCTCTATTTTAATTTTGCGTATTTTACTTTTCATTTTAGTCCATTTAAAATGGATGTCATTTGCTCAGGGGGAGTCTAGTAGCCTTGTATGTGGATTCCGTAGGTCACTCTATGGTCTGAAACAGTCTCCTCGAGCTTGGTTTGGGAAGTTCAACACAATAATTCAGGAGTTAGGCATGACTCATAGTGGAGCTGATCACTCTGTGTTTTATCGAGATTCTGCACCAGGTCGATGTATCTATTTGGTTGTTTATGTTGATGATATTGTTATCACCGGTAATGATCAAGATGGTTTCACCGATTTAAAGTAACATCTTTTTAAGCACTTCCATACTAAAGACCTTGGCAGATTGAACTATTTTCTAGGTATTGAGGTTGCTCAGTCTAGATCAGGCATTGTTATCTCTCAAGGCAAGTATGCCTTAGACATTCTTGAGGAGACAGGAATGATGAGATGTAAACCTATTGACACTTTGATGGATCCGAATGTTAAACTTCTTTCGGGACAGGGGGAGCCACTTAGTAATCCTGAAAGGTATAGACGACTTTTTGGAAAGTTGAATTATTTCATAGTGACTAGACAAGATATCTCTTTTCTCGTGAGTGTTGTAAGTCAGTTTATGATTTCCCCTTGTGATAGTCATTGGGAAGCAGTTGTTCGTATTCTTCGATATGTAAAGTCAGCCCCTACAAAGGACTACTCTTTGAGGAGCAAGGTCATGAGCATATCATTGGATATGCAGACGCTGATTGGGCAGGATCACCCTCTGACAGACGTTCGACATCCGAATATTGTGTTTTAGTTGGAGGTAATTTGGTGCGTGGAAGAGTAAGAAACAAAATGTGGTTGCTCGATCTAGTGCAGAATCAGAATATCGAGCAATGGCGACAACAACTTGTGAGTTAGTTTGGCTCAAATAGTTACTGGGAGAACTAAAATTTGGCAAAATTGATCAGATGGAACTTGTGTGTGATAATCAAGCGACTCTTCATATCGCATCAAATCCAGTGTTTCATGAAAGGACTAAGCATATTGAGATTGACTGTCACTTTGTCAGAGAAAAGATACTCTCAAGAGATATTGTTACAAAATTTGTGAAGTCAAATGATTAGCTTGCAGATATGTTCACTAAGTCTCTCACATGTCCTCGTATTAATTACATCTGTAACAAGCTAGGCACATATAATTTGTATGCACCAGCTTGAGGGGGAGAGTTAGAATATGAATAAGTATTTCTTACTTAGAATAGGAATAGGAATAGGAATAGGAATTCTAGTTGGAAAAGGTTTCCAATGTAGTGTCTAAAATCTTCATGTAACAATTTAGATGCGCAATTCAATAATATTTTCTCCATTATTTCTCACAGCTATGAACTGCTATTTGTTGTCTGGATTCATTTGATACATATTTGTGTTATTAAATCAAGGTTAACATTAGTCACGTGGTATAACCTTTGAAAGGGTTTGAATTATCAATTAGCACTAACATGAAACTTTTGTTTAATAACTCATTTTTACTGCCATATACATCTCAGATAAAGAATAACGTTACACTCATATTATGCAGATACTGACTGTAGAGCTTTTTCTTCATCAACTTTGGTTGACCACGAGCAAAACCTGACCTATCCTTTTTATGCGTTTGAAAAAGGTAAGTTCGAAAGTTGTAGTGTTCTTAACTTTGTGTCACATAGGAGATTGACAAGCGAGATTTGCTTGTACCCAAAATACATGCAAATCCACTTTAGAATATGATGTATCTAGAATATATTACACCTAATTTTGACCCTTGTCAGTATTTTTGTTGATGATGCTCAACGATACAAAAGGGGATAAGGTGAGATACATGAATAATCTGTTCGACATAATTTGGAGGTTTACATGCAACTATTTATATGGTCAGGTAGATCTCTGTCTATGAGCTTGATACCGATGTTTAGTCTAAAATCTGGTCCATATCTTTATATTCTTGAAGAATACCTATTGAAGACTGATTCAAAGTATGACTTGGTCAATTAAGTTTGTTAGTAATGTCCTAATTCTAGGGCTAGTTGTTAGCACATATGCTGATCATGGTGCAGTACTTTCTAGTTGTGTTTTGGTTAGTAATTACTTGTTTAGTTAATGGAAGTAGTGGTCACTTAATGACTTAGTAGTTTGTTATTTCAAGTCTATAAAAGCTGTATTTTCCTGTGATTTGTGATTTAAAATACAAAAAAATAGTTTCTTCTTAAAAGTTTTCCTGCCTATTTACTCCAACATCTTTGGCATCAGAGCCATGGCAAGCAATGGCAATGCATTGAGTGTCGCACAACCACTCATTCCCGTCTTCAAGGGAGAAAGCTACGAATTCTGGAGTGTTCGTATGAAAACAATACTCAAATCTCAAGTTCTTTGGGACTTGGTAGAATGAGGATTTGCAGATCCCGACGAAGAAAATAGACTGCGAGACAGTAAGAAAAAAGACGCTAAAGCACTGGTTTTTATTCAGCATACGCAGTAAATGATAGCCATTTTTCATGGATTGCAGCAACAACCACATCAAAGCAAGTGGCAATTTCAAGGTGATCCAAAGGTCATTGTGGTGAGATTTGCAATCACTTCGGCGTGACTTTGACACCTTGATGATGGAAAATGGAGAATCAATTGCTGATTTCTTGTCCAGAGCAGTGGCAATTGTCAACAAAATTCGATCATGTGGCGAGAAGGTTACTGATCAAACAATTGTGGAAAAGATACCGCGAAGCTTGACTCCAAAATTTGATCATGTAGTCGCTGCTATAGAAGAGTCTAAGGATCTATCAGTTTTTTCCTTTGATGAACTGATGGGATCTCTTCAAGCCCATGAGGCGAGACTCAATCGATCTATTGAAAAAAATGAAGATAAAGCATTCCTATCGAGGAAGCAACAACCAAATATGGTGAGAACAATGGTCCAGCACGCAGAGGTCGAGGAAGAGGAGAATTTTGTAGTGGTCGTGGTCATGGGTATGGAAGAGGTAGAGGAAGGAATGGTGGGCATAGGCAGTCCAATGAGCAAAGTAACACAAAGAATGGCATTCAATGTCATCATTATCTGCGCTACGGGCATATAAAGGCTAATTGCTGGTATAAAGACCAGAAAATAAACTTTTCAACAACAGAAAATGAGGAAGAGAATTATCTTTTTATGGCTTGCATTGATACGATCACAAAACAAGTGATGTATGGTTTGTAGATAGTGGCTGTTCAAATCATATGATAGGCACCAAATCTTTGTTCCCGGAGCTAGATGAGAAGCAAAAGGAAAAGGTGCAGCTTGGCAACACAAAAGAGATGCAGGTTGAAGGAAAAGGTACCGTTGGTATTAATACTAGCCACGACAAAGTAAAAATGTTCGACAACGTTCAATTTGTACCTGACTTAGGATACAATTTGTTGAGTGTTGGACCACTAATGTCTGATGAACATTCTCTTTGGTTTGATGACGATGCTTGTGTCATTACAAACAAGAAATTAGGCAAAAAGGTTCGCATCACTATGACACCAAAGAAGCTGTTTCCGCTGGATGTTTCTAACATGGAATGTTTTGCACTTACTGCAAGTGCAAAGGATGAGTCAAAGTTGTGGCATTTGAGGTATGGTCACCTCAATATAAAGGGCCTGAAATTGCTAGTTTACAAAGGTATGGTTCTTGGACTACCAAAAATTGATTCTATTGAATTGTGTGAAGGGTGCATTTATGTAAAACAAACTAGGAAGTCTTTTCTTGTTGGAAAAGCTTGGAGGGCTTCAAAGTGTCTTAAATTAATACATGCTGACTTATGTGGACCTATGCATACTTCATCTTTTTGTGGGAGTCGTTATTTTCTACTATTTACTGATGATTGCAGTCGCATGAGTTGGGTCTATATTTTAGAAACCAAATCAGAAACATTTCAAAAATTCAAGTACTTCAAAGCCCAGGTTGAGAAGCAAATTGGTCTGTGCATAAAAACTTTTCACACAGATAGAGGTGGCGGATTCTTGTTCAAGGTTTTTAATCTCTTTTGTGAGGAAAATGGCATTAACAAGGAACTGACAACACCTTATACTCCGGAGCAAAATCGTGTTGCTGAGTGAAAAAATCGCACTGTTCTGGAGATGGTAAGAAGCATGTTACAAGCAAAGGGAGTTCCAAATCAATTTTGGGCTGAAGCAGTAGCGACATCAGTCCATTTATTGAATCCATCTCCAACAAAGGTTGTTATGTATCAAACTCCATTTGAAGCTTCGAAGGGTAGAAAACCAACCGTAATTTATTTAAGAATTTTTGGTTGTATTGCTTATGCTTTGGTCAATTCCCAATTTCGTCACAAGTTGGATGAAAAATCTGAAAATGTGTTTTTATTGGTTACTGCACACAATCTAAAGCATATAGATTGTATAACACTCTTAGTAGAAAGAATTTAATTAGAAGGGATGTAGTATTTGATGAAATGGCTAGCTGGAATTGGAGTGGAAGCAACGATAAGATGCAAGAGCACATTCCTAGGCCCACTGGAAACACTTTTGATGCAATTCAGCAGCCAACTCCTACAGCTACAACAGCCTGTTCTAGTACCACTTCTCCAGATTCATTTTCTTCAACTTAAGGGAACATAAACTCTTCATCTACTACTCTTGAAGAGTCTTCAGATGAGCCAATTCCATTAAGAAGATCAACAAGGCTTAAAAGTCGAACCCGAAGTACGCCAATGACATGTATACAACTTGTCAATTTTCTTTTGCTATTTCAGATCCTACACATTATGGAGAAACAGCTGAAAAGGAAGAGTGGCGGAGAGCGATGTTAGAAGAAATGAAATCCATCGAAAAGAATGGCACATGAGAGATGGTGGAATTACCATAAGACAAAAATGCAATTGGTTTGAAATGGGTGTTCAAGACAAAGTTTGCAGCAGATGGGACCATGCAAAAGCATAAAGCTCGTTTTGTGGCGAAAGGAAATGCGCAACAATATGGTATTGATTTTGAAGAAACATTTTCTCCAGTTGCTTGATTTGAAACTGTTAGATTTGTTCTAGCATTGGCTGCACAGTCTCAATGGCTAGTTTATCAATTTGATGTCAAGTCGGCATTTCTTAATGGAGACCTGCAAGAAGAGGTCATTGTAGCACTACCTGAAGGTTTCATAAAGAAGGGCGATGAAACAAATGTCTACAAACTAAAAAAGGCAGTGTATGGTTTGAAGCAAGCCCCTCGAGCGTGGTATAACAAAATTGATGGTTATTTTTAGGGAAAGGGATATAAGATAAGTGAGAATGAACCAACATTGACGTAAAGAAGAAAGGTAATGATTTCATCATTGTTTGCCTTTATGTTGATGATATCATTTATTCTAGCTCTTCTGTTTCTCTTGTGGATGAATTTAAGTCTCAAATGATGAATGAGTTTGAGATGTCAGATATGGGGTTATTACATTATTTCTGGGCCTTGAAGTCCATCAAGCTGAAGATAGAATATTTCTTTCACAAAGGAAATATGCCAAGGACCTTCTCACTAAGTTTGGTTTGCTTAATTGCAAGCATGCTGCTACACCTATGAATGTTGGTATAAAACTGCAGCTTAAAAATGGACGATGCTAGAAGTTTCAGAAGTATGGTGGAGGTTTTATTTACCTAACCCATACTCGCCCCGATATAATATCCCTGTTGGTGTTATATCCAGGTTTATGCAACAACCTTCAAAGGTTCATTTTGGAGCAGCAAAAAGAGTTCTGCGTTATGTCGCTGGAACTATGGACTATGGGATATGGTATTCACAAGTTTCTAACTTCAGATTATGTGGGTTCACGGATAGTGACTATGCTGGTTCATTGGATGATAGACGAAGCATTTCAGCACATATTTTCACTCTTGGGTCAGGAGTAATAAATTGGAGCTCAAAGAAGCAAGCTACAACAACCTTATCCACGCCTGAAGCTGAGTACATTGCAGCTACTTCAGCGGCTTGCCAAGCTATCTGGCTAAGAAGGATGTTAGCGGAACTTCAACATAAGCAAGAAAGTACAACAGAGATATACTGCGACGACAAAGCATCAATCTCCATGACAAAGAATCCAAATTTTCATAGTAGAACGAAGCACATTGATGTTCGATTCCATTTCATTCGTGATTTGGTTGCAAAGGAGGAGATTGTTGTTGAAGCATTGCAGCACTCATAAGCAATTGGCTGATATATTGACGAAGTCGTTGGCAGCACACAAGTTTATCTATTTGACGGCTTTGCTTGGTGTCTGGAACTTTGAATCAAGGGGGAATATTGAAGACTGATTCAAAGTATGATCTGGTCAATTAAGTTTGTTAGTAGTGTCCTATATTCTAGGTCTAGTTGTTAGCAAATATGCTGATCATGGTGCAGTACTTTGTAGTTGTGTTTTGGTTAGTAATTACTTGTTTAGTTAATGGAAGTAGTGGTCACTTAATGACTTAGTAGTTTGTTATTTTAAGTCTATAAGCTGTACTTTCCTGTGATTTGTGATTTAAAATACAGAAAAAAAGAAAAGTCTTCAGCTTACAATTCTCTGTTTCTTCTTAAAAGTTTTCCTGCCTATTTGCTCCTACAATGCCTTCTGTTTCAGTTGAGTATCACAGTCTGTGACCAAGCTAGATTTTTATTTTATTTTATCACAATGCCATTTTGCAGTAGTGGGTGGGGTGACAATAAACATACAAAAAGTTCACGCCCTTCCTTATCTCTAAAGATAGGGTGTCCTAACCATCCAGCCGCTATTCCATCCCCGTTATCCATTGAAACTGCTCTGGATAATGGACACAATATATATTGTCGATAGACATTCTCTTATTTCAGGCTTTGGGTATTGGATTTACACAATCTCCAAACTCACCTAGTTCAACAATATTTTGTATTTTTATTGCTCCATCTAAAATATTTTACTTTCATTCAGGTAGCATACCTCACATTTACCTTCTTGTGTACATAGTTGCATTCAGTATGATGTCATGTCATGGCTGTTTTACACTTATATCAGTTTTGTTGGTTGTTGTTTTTAATCCCAGTGGGCCATTTTCAAATGTGATTTCAATTGACATTTAGAAATCCTGTGGTACCTGCATTTTATATTTCTATTTCTTCATTCTATACATTAAATATCTAATTCTATTAACTTTGGTCATATATGCTTGCATGTGAATAGAGTAGCTGGTCAGTCATTTTCTCATAAGAAGTTCCTTTTCAAAATTTAGCATATATGTTAAAAGTTGAAAGTACTTTTAAAAAATTGGTATTTTCCATGAATGCTATTTAGATTATATTAATTAATTGATTCCTCCTACTACTCCTTCTCCTTTAGGATAGAACTCTTTCAGTATTCTCTCTACTCCATCTCCTCCTCCTCCTCCTTTTATTCCTTAATGATGAAGAAAGCATACATTTTATGCCTCCTCCTCCTCTTTATAATTTGGTGCTCACCTTCATTTGCAATTTTTTCTGCCCAAGAATCTAAACTGAGCGGTAACTTCATTAATTTTTTCATCTCTGTAGACTGTAATTATTTAGTTGTTGTAGTTGTAATCACGCTTACAGTGGTTGTAATTATATGGTTACAGTCTTAATTCTTTTGGAATTTGCTTTCAGGTGCTTCGAGTGTTCTGCATCTCGAAAAACTCATCCTGATGAATCGCACTACTACATCGGATGAGTTGGGGGCTAGAGACCGAGCAAGGCACGCTCGGATTTTGCGCAGTTCTACTACTGCTGGAGCTGTCGATTTCTATCTTACTGGTTCCTTCGACCCCAAACTCGTCGGGTACATGCATATTTACGTACTGCCATCAATTTCAAATTATTTATTTAGTTATGTGTTTGATGAAAGTAAATATATAAATTATGTAAAGCATAATAAAAATGTAGTGCAATGAACTGAATTAACAAAATAAAATAAAATAAAATATATATCTGGCATGCATAGTGAGTGGGCTTTAGTTTACTATACAAGAATTAACTGTACATGTTTGCTTATATAGGTACATAGATACACTATGAGTTATTGACCTGATCACAACCATACAAATAGAGTAGGACAACCCCTCACAAATCTATGGGTCCTCTCGGCCTCATTAAGAAGAATAGCCAAGGCATGTCTCATACTCTTTAAGTGTAAGGCTATCCTACCTCAAACTCGAAAACATTGAACCGGTTGTCTTCCCCCCCACTTTAAGTACCGGCTCTCTTTTCCCACACTTTAAGGGATGAAACAGTCATAAAAAGAAACTAAGAAACACATCCAGGTTACTATGGAGATCCAATCGGCAAAGATCACAAGTAGACTCTCCAGCACGCCCTAGTTGGCCTACATAACTGGAGTATAGCATAACAAACCCCAGAGACTCATCCAACTCAACACTCTCTAACAACTCTCTATATGTACTCAAAAACTCATGCACATCCCCGCATGTTCCACCTTAAAATGGAGGTGGATCCATATTTCTGAACTTCTCATAACAGCGTTGCTCATCCTCTGTCAACACAATTAAAGGGGCATCCTTAACCTAAACTCTTGGCGCAGGATCAGCCTCAATCGTAAGACCCGCTGGTGGCTTCCCCATCGGACCTTAACTATATGGAATGTGTCCCTTATTTAGGGTCTGAGCCCCCACTCTAGTCTAAGAGCCCTCTGATGTGCCTGCCCGCCCCCACCCTGACTGAAACTCTCAAGTACCTCCAACACCCTCAACAAAGTGTCCTAAAACAATGGTGCAGCAGTGTCCTTTGGTTATTAGAGATAGATATGCATATATACACATAATTATTTTCGAAGTTGACAGGTGCACGTGCTCCCCCACAAATACACGTGGTCCGCCTCTGAACTAAGAGGCATGTTGTCTTATAACTGACCTGATATTTCAGAAGAGAGTTTTCATGATCGTTTAGAGTTTTGCCCTCTTTCTTTTAATAAACCTGCTTATTCTTGTGAGTTTCCGTGGTGAAACTTTCTAAATTACATGTGCTTTTTCTTATCAACTTTATGATCCTTGTTATTAGTTTTCAAAGCAATATTTTTATTCTTAGAGGTAATGGATATGATGATTATGTTTTCTTATGATGCTTATTGACCACCATATTGCGCTTAACTTTTTATGCTTTCCTGTTATTTTAGCATGACTATACAAAAATAAAATTGGGATCTCCTCCGGGAGAATACAATATGCTGATTGATACTGGAAGTGATATATCATGGGTTTCGTGTAGCTCCTGCAGCAACTGTCCCCGAACAAGTGAACTCGGGGTAACACTTCTTGTCCATCATACTCTTGATACTTTTTTTAGAAGTCACCATCTAAATTATATTTATGATGAATTAAGATACCTGATTATTAATTAAAGTAATGCTAAAATTAACTTCAAATAATTGGCTACTTAACTTATTGGATTCTAGGTAATAGGATTTAGATTATCCTAAAGAAAAGGTCCCATGAGATCTGTTAAAATGGTTTACTAGTCATATTTAGTTAGATCAATCATCAATTAAACTTGTTATTAATTATAAAAAAGTAATATTTAACATTTGAGAAAATAATTCATATCTTGATGGCGTGGGTCCAAATTTTAGACTCAAAGTCCAAGATTTATTTCGAACGAATCTGATTGAAGTACTCAATTTTATAAGGAAGTTACTCAAATCTTGCAAGTTTTTAGTATTCGAAAGAAAATAAACTAAAACAAGTAAACAAACAATCACACATAGGAAAATAAACGATCAATTAACCATAACGTTAGCAAAAAAATAGAGGTCACTCTTTCTTCTGCCATCTTTTTTACTATTTCACTCGGATGTATTATTTGGGGGGGGGGGGATAGCGAGTGATGCATGTTTGAGGTCTAGCAGTTATATCAAATCACAAGGCGAAACTTCTTGTGCAAACGGGAGTATTTCGTGGAGACTTTATTTTGTTGTCAAAATGTACATATTTGGAAATAGAAATATGATGATAACATTTAAACTATGATTTGCGTTCCTAATTATAAGTATGCTCATATATTTTAGAGAAGTCTTATTCATGCTGCCCCTTGCACTACTGATTCATTCTAAACTTTTCCAAATCATTTAGTCAAATTTTTTTTAGTAAAGAACAAAAATCTACACAATATTATTAAAGTATTAGATTCAAGTGATGTGTGAATTGGGACATGAGAACTGGAAAACTAAGTGAAGGAAAAATGAAAGTCATTTTCCCTTCATTGGTAGAAAATAATGAAAAGTTTATTCATTATATTAAGAGACAATTCATTTAGCTCTTAAAGGGTTATGTAGAGGGTGCCCCTCATACCGTTGTCTTTGTCACTCGGTTGGCTCGGCTTCGACTTAGGCTAATTCATTTATCAATCTCATTTAGACTCGGATATTTTCTTTCTTATCATCTTAACAATATTTCTGATTTATTATTTTGAATACATGAGACAACAAATTGACTATATATATATATATATATATATACACACACACACACACACACACACATACATATGTATACACATACATATGTATATACATATATATACACATACATATGTATATACATATATATATACATATACATATGTATACATATATATATGTATGTGTATACATACATACATATATATGTATATATACATATGTATGTGTATACATACATACATATATATGTATATATACATATGTATGTGTATACATACATACATATATATGTATATATATATATATATATATATATGTATATATATACATATATATATATATATATGTATGCATATATATATATATATAAAGTACCTTTCTTTAAAGCTCCTAATCAAACTCAAAGTCACAAAGACTCAAAATTTGTTATTAAAAAAAGTATGCTGAAGAAGTTCAGAAAATTCAATAGAGAAAATGAGTGCAAACATCACTATTTTAAGCTAAAATTTGGTGTGAAAGCACGTTTTAAGAAAAGTTTTGGTGTCTATTGGATGGAAGTGTTTGTTCGGAAGGGAAGGAACAGTTTCTTTTCTGAAATTTTGTTCGTAACAATTTTGCGAATTCAAAATTATTTTGCATGGATATAAATTAATTCGTAAAAATGAAAAATGAAGTTCGTCCAGGAGATTTATTAATCAATCATTTGTCGAAGTCGAAGTAGAGCAACGACGACAAGTCGATGACATCACAAGGGGACAGTCTCTTCTCAACTCTTAAAGAGGTAGAAGCAGTATTTCTACATGTAAACACAATAGTTCTTCTCTTCATTACCAACAAGGGAGAAATGAACTTTATTCGAATTTCATTTTTCCTCTATTTCTCAATTCACATTACACCTTATATTTAAAGCTTAATCTTTAAGAGCCTGTTTGGATGTGCTTAAAAGTTGGTCAAACTGACTCAAAAGTCAGTTTTTGACTTATTAGAGTGTTTGACAATTATCAAAGTGACTTAATTTAAGTCAAAAATGACTTATTTTAAGCCAAAAGCTAAAAGCTAGGTGAGGGGCGTTTTTTTTTCCCCAACTTGTATGTTGACCAAGTAATATACCTTTTTGCCCTTAATTCTTTTATTATTATATTATTATTATTATTATTTTTATTATTATTGTTATTATAATTATTATTTTATTACTATTATTATTTTTATTATTATTATTATAAATAATAATATTATTATTTTTATTATTATTATTATTATCATTATCGTTATTATTATTATTATAATTACTATCATTATCATTATTATTATTATTATTATTATTATTATTATTATTATAATTACAATTATAAAAAAATTGTGATGATAAAGAAATATGTGAATGATAGGAAATATTATTACCTATGGATTTAAAATATAAATTAGTTTTGTTTTTATTTTTGTAAGTATAAAACCTTAAATTTATCAACTCTTTACCATGTTAATAGTTTTAAGGGTATTTCAGATATTTTGATTAAAAAAAGTGTTTACCAACACTTATTTGCCAAAAACATCAACAACTTTTTTTTCAATTGAAACATTTTTATCCAAACATATAACTACTTATTTTAAATATAAGTTTCAACACTTTCAAGTACTTTTTAAAAGTTGCTTCTTTTAAGCCCATCCAAACGGGCTCTAAGAAATCAAAACTCAGCAATCCCCCAAAAGAATGGGAAATGTATGTATTATAAAGATGTATGCATGAAAATTTTTTATGCCATAAGTAAAAGGATTTAATTTATGAAAATGTATGCATGAAAAAGTTACATGTCACAAGTAAGGATTAATTGCATCTGAATAAGTAAGTTTTTCTTGTGAAAATGTTTCAGATCTACTTAGTGAATTAGTAAATTAGATATCTTTTAACTATCGTGAATTAGTTTATACCTAGACCACATAATTCACACAACTAATCCCTTAACCATCTTTGGCTATAACTATTTTATTCGTTTAACCATAAAATATGTCTGATTCATAAGTTTCACGACCTGATTTATTGAGTCATGATGATACCTACTGTAATCCACGTGTAGGTACGCTAACTTGTAACCCAGAATAACAAGTAGTGGATATAATGGTAGAAATAAGGCAGAACAATAATTTAATTAATAATAGAAATAGAACAAAACAGCGGATGCAAGCAATACAATGTTCAACCAAAAAATTAACTTAGCACTCAAAAAATACCAAACTGCCCTCGAAACCTCAAAAGTTCGACCAAGACCTCTTCAAGTCCTAGAATAATTCTCTAAATCCAATGTTCTTATCAGAAATCTGATTCGAAGATTTGAATTTCGAACCTTGACCAAAGTCAACACAAGGGCTAAATTCACTTAAATTTCCAACTCAAGGCCTCAAATCCACGAAACAACTCTGAATTCAGAAATGGCAACACTTCCTGACCAAATTCCACATTCCACGGTCGATGAAACTAAAGGAATTCTATTCTGAGACTCGAAACTCTGGTTGGTACGAAAAACCAATTAACAACTATAAACCTATCAAAACTCAAAACTTTCAAAAATCATGAATTTTCAATAAAATTTCAGAACCAACTTCGCAAACTGATGAAACATGAATCATCGAAAAATGATAATTTTATGAATCATCAAAAAATGATATTCCGGCTCATTATAAAGGAACCACGAATGAGAGAGTTGAAATAGGAAGAATTGTAGTAGTGTAAGTGAAGTGATTGTGGATACTACTTTTCACCAAAAGGTGAAACTAATACGGGAAAGACAAAGGGGAAATTGGGAGAAAAATGATACTTCCTTCGTCCAAATTAATGTAGCATCTTTCGAATTTTGAGATTTAAAAATATTATAAGTATTTTATTTATATTTTAAAATATTTGAATTGTCAATTATTGTGACTTATATTGATTTTTACACCGTTCCCAAAAATGTATATTTTATTTTTTATAACTTAAAAGATTCATGCCAAATTTCATAGTGAAAACTTAAGTAGTTTGATTCTCACGAAGGAAAGATTATCATGTAAATTAAGAGAGAAGAATATTGTTTTGAAATTTGATCCGAATCATGTGAGAGAGATATGTTGAATTAAAAGTTTATTTTGAAAACACCCCTGAACTTTGTGTAAATTATTAGTTTCAGTACTATTGACAACTTTAAAATCACCACTTCACTTTACTAACTAATCTTAGATATACCCTCGATATACAACATGTCACACCATGAGCCTACACCTTTGGCTTGATCGACACTCAGAACTATGGTTGTGTCCCAAACGAACCATTAGCCCGACTGATTACTAAGCAAAAAACTATACATACATGTGGAATCCTTATAAGATGGACATTCAAAATCATTTAAAGACATTTCAAAAGTCTAAAATAAATCTGTATGTAAATAATAATAAAATGGTTAAATCATCTGAATACTAAAGTCGGAACTGGCTCACTAATTTTATCTATCTATGAAGTCTTTACTAACTGAAGATAAGCATCGTTACAAAACTCAAAACTACCTGACTATTCAACGGAAAATGATTATAAAATCAAATAAACTGATCTAACTAAATTGGAGCCCTCCGAAAGTGAGGTGGTCTCACCGACTGTTGATGGAAAGAGATCTTACCAAACATATGCTGTCGAGAGTACGTAGTAACTATATCATAAAATTATGTAGCGTCAAATAGCGTCAGTACATTGAATTTACAATATGTAATATTGTAATAAAGCTGAATGAAGCAAATAACTGAAGTAAATAAACAAACTGGAATGAAACTGAAAGTAACCTGACAGAATGTGGAGCGTTCATGAAGTAAAATCATTTAAGTTT